AAGGTTGATTTAGAACTGAAGAATATAGAATTTGAATAATTTAGGAAAGTTATGAAGGTGGAGCTAAGGGTTGTAGATAAAAGAAGGGAACCAATAGTAAGAAAATATGATTTGAAAAATGCTGAAGATAGAAAATATAGAATTAAGTTGTTGAACCCAAATCACCGAAGAAACCCCTCATAAAATAGCAATTAGGACGGATAGCAAAGTACAGACGTCATGCGGTTAGTACGCGAAGTTGAAATGTTAATAGGGATTATAGGAAAGTACAGTAATAAAAGTTATTGGAACAGATGGATAGAATACAAAAGCTTTAGAAGATAATGTTGAAAAATATTTACACAGAAAAGGAATATCATACAAAAGATTTACATATTTACACAACGACATTATATGTACAGGGTGCTCTAATTTATGTTGGTCGCTACACTTTAATACAGAATTCATGAAGTATTATCATACCTTCAAATGTAATGGGATTCTAAATTAATTTTACAAGAATACAATCTTATTGTTTCTATTGTTTGTATACATTATATAAAACTTCACATACTAATTTTACAATATGTAAAATATGAGAGTATTCGATATACATTGTACATATTTTGTTTCTGTGTTCTTAAATATTTTTCATTTCTTAAATATACATGCCTATATACTACATTCATAACATTTCTAATTTCAATTGTAACTGAAAACGAAGAGGGGTAAATAAGGAATTCTTCCTTCTGCATGATGCATAACTCAAAACAATAATTTTTATAAATTATTTTAAAACCCTGAATGTACTTCTTGAGGCGATAAATCAGCATATTTTTCGAAAACATTTGTAAATTTTCCCTCGTCAAAAAGATATTTGCAATTTTGTTTATGGTGGTTTAATTTCTCTACATGCCATTCAATATGCATATCATTTAAACAATAAAGTACTTTGTCGTGTTTACAAGATATTTACACGATTATAACTTTTAAAAAATTGCATAAATCGATCGAGTTGTGATCATGAATTACATAGGTGCATGCTTCAGTGCCATTCAATGTGATTCTATTTTGAAATCCAAACACTATTTAATTTTTATCTAGCACGTTAGGAATATTTAACAACAAAATCATTAAAACTATAAGTAAAACAATTAAATAAACAAATAATTGGAGCATAAGTAAAGATATTACTTTGTAACAGTACTTTCTAATTTATAACTGAAAGAGTCTTAAGCTCTTTCAAACTGTTTGAAACACTTATAATGCTTAACTATTTGAATCAAATTGCTTTTGAATTAATTCGAATTCCTCGGGTTTTAAAATGTAATTAGAACTTCAAGGAATAAGTACTTTAAGCTTAGGGCTCGGGACTCTTTTAATGAAAATCTATAGGCTTCGACTGTGCATCGACGAATATGCACAGTTACAATTACTGTAAATCTATAGTAGTGACTGTATACATTGAGAAATTCAGTCAGATTACTTTTTTGATTTTCACAGAAAATTTGCCTTTCGCAATTTTCCTTCCAATTCCATACGAATTAATAAATTTTCCAAATTTCAACAAGAGTCATTAAATGTAACATCATTAATATCAAAAGAGCAATAACTAAACAATTTATCTGAATACTGAGTAGACGATGTTTCGTCAAAATGAATGCCAATTTAATAATGTAAACAATAAAATTGGAATGTTTGTAGGGGCCGCATACAATTCAAAATCAAACTGTTTCATGTAAGTATTGAATATAAAATGTCAACAATGTTTCAATATTAAAGTGATATCTTTAAAATAGCATTTGAAACTTATATAACTATACCTTTTCAAAACATAAACTAAATTAATAAGCACTAGGTAAGGCCCTCATCAAAAGGAGTTCGTGCTCTAAGCCACATGCCTTTATTTACAGACCACAGGGCCCTTAAAACTTCACTTACATTTGAGACTCCGAATTAATAAGTTCAAAAGCTTTGAACACTTGCCAACAGGGCTTCAAGCACCCCATTTAAGTTAAACCAAAACGATTTCAAAACGCTTTAAGCATTCTCAAATAATTAAAGTAGGATATAATGTTTCTGTTATCTTCGATTAATTTGAACCTTTTATTAATATTACCAACATTCGTATAATACTTAATCTTTAAATTAAGCTTGAAGCCTTTTTTGAAAAACAAATTATAAAGCTCTTTTATTATGTAACTCGTTTATCAAGTCCAAATTAAGTTCTTATTTGTGAAAAAGGTACAGTACTTCTAAACCCTGAATAAACTACAAGCACATTTTCACTCATAAAACATAAACATTAAAACGTATCCACACATCAGTAATGACGACCTGTTCCTAAAGACAACGTTTTTTATCCGTATTTAGGTTTTTGACGAAAGCCTTTGATACGTTTACTTGAAAATTTCACAAAAGATATTTGTCATACCGACAAATCAAAACAAGACAATAAGACTCTAAAGAATTTATGAAACAAAACAAATTTTCTACTACCCATGTTAAACCTGCACAAAATATTCTAGTATATTTAGAAATCCACGGTGAAAATTATATATGTCCAGTATATCTATATGTGACGGCTTTCATATGAAATATTATATTTGCTATAAATGTTTTATGAGGTTACTGTTTGACAATATCCTTCACATTTAAATAAATATTATAAAGCAGCGGCTTATAATCTAGAAAAACTTTCCATCATCATAAGGTCGTCAGTACTAAGACTGGTTGGACACGCACTTCCACTCCTTCCTATCCTGAGCTAATCTTCGCATTTCCTTAAAACTAGAACATCCCACATCCTTAAGTTCCTTAACTATTTGCGAACAGCAATCTTATGTAAGTCTACCTTTACTCCTCTTAACTCATGTTTCTGCCTCTAATATGTTTCTGTCTAAACCTTCATACAAATCTACAAATCCTATGTACGGGCTCTTTCCTTTTTCTATCGTTTACTCTCTTGTTACCTGTAAAGCTAGATTGGCCTCCCGCGTTCCTTCACTTCTTTTGAACCAAAATTGATCCTCCCCTAATAGTTCTTCCGTACTTTTCTCCATCCTCCTCTGTACAATTCTAGTTAAGATTTTTGACGCATAGGAAGTTAAGCTAATTATTCTAAATGTCTCGCGCCTATCCGCGCCTTTCCTTTTAGGTATGGTTTCTACCACGTTCCGTTTATAATCCTCCAGGACTTTTCCCGTCTCGTAAATGTGACTAACTAGCTTAAACATACGATCTCTAACCTTTTGTCCTGCATATTTTAGAATTTCCGCCTGTATCCTATCTACACCTGGCGCCTTATTATTCTTTAAGTTTTTTATTGCTTCATTAAACTCTTTATTCATTATAGGATAACCTAGCTCATCTATCTCCACACTATCTTCCTTCTCTAATATATCTCCTAACTCATGATCTACGTATAGGTTCTCTAAGTATCCTTCCACCTGTCTGCCTTTTTCTCATTTTCTATCATAATGACCCCTGCCTCGTTTTTTATGTTATTACTACTGTAACCTACTTTTCTAAAATTCCTTTTAATTATATTAAGAAAAACTTGTATGCAGTTTTATTTATTTCTTTCTCAAATAAAGCGACAAAAATCTGTACAATTAGAAATATTATTAAAAAGGACACCACTGCTCAAGAAATAATTTATTTATATTACAAAAGTGGTAAAAAAGAAATTTATAATAAATAAATTACAATAAATAGGCATCACATCATAGCATTTATTAACTAGAACTAAAACGATAATTAATTAATCCATTAATTAACATAATAAATATTTTTAAGTTACATCGTTAATTTTTTGAGTCAGTCCCAGCCTTTCATACAACCTCATTAGTTCTAATTTTTCTAAGGCGGTTAAAGGACGATTAAGGAGAGGACTCGCTTTTCTCCTCTTAGAATTAAAATTACTTAAACTTGGAGGATTCATACTTCTGTCCCAATCCGAATAATACGTTTCCTCATAATCAGGACCCGTGTGATAATGACTCGACGACGACGTGTACGTTGGCGACTGCGCATTCTTACCATGAACGTGAACGTGAATGGGTTGCTCCTTTTGAGGATATTTATGTGATGACTGTAGAACCGCAAATTTTGTAAAAAGTCCACTAACGTTGATAATTAACAACGTCAGTCCTATGGCCAATCCTTTCAGTACGAAAATCGTTAAGAACTTCAATGTCGTTAAAATTACTCCTAAAGCGAAGACTATAAAGAATAACACTGATTTCAGTCGACGTACTGCACCAAGGCATCTACCTGAAAATAAAAAATAGTGGCACATTTAAGTAACTGAAACAAAAACAGTAATCATATCGAAATATAACTATAAACGCACATGAAACGAAGAAATCTACAAGTAAAACAATGTACCAAACTACAGTAATGTTTGCAATAGGCAGAGACCGGGTAGGTTTGTTTATGCAATACTAATTTGAAATCGTTTTTTCGATTACCCACTACAAATTACCTCAAATTAATGAGGGGAAAATTGTTGCTGTTGCCACACCTCCGCCGGGAATCGAACCCGGGACTTTTGGCTTTACGCACCAATGCTCTGACCACTAAGCTACGAAAGGTTACAACAGCAACCAGGACAAACCGACCTACAAGGTTAACGATCCATCGATTTTTATTAACGTAATTATATATATTAAATATATGAAATCCTATGACATTGTTAGTTACTTAACAGTGGATTANACATCGAACCACCGCCAACGGGTCGGCTCTTTCTCGGTTCACGTATCCTCGATGTCGTCCTTCTTGGACACACTGCACTTCGGAACGGTGGAAGCAAGACGGCGAGGTCTAATTGGTACCGGAAAATAGGTCCGCACCTGACGGCCAGAGAGACAAGTCGTCTTTCTAAAGGTTACATCGGACGGGAAATAAATTTTAAACCAAACGCCTAGCTATTGTCGGGAACCAAAGGCATTAAAAGGGAGAACGTCGAAATGGACGCGAATTGGTACAGTACACCGTAAAAATTGTGATAGAAACCTGTCATTACATATTTGACATCATTTTTTCGATTTTTATTTACCCACTAATGAGGGATTAATTAATCCAGGTTCGATTCCCGGCGAAGGTGTGACAACAGCAACAATTTTTCCCTCATTAATTTGAGGTAGTTTGTAGTGGGTACATAAAAATCGAAAAAATGATGTTAAATTAATATTGCATATTAATCCACTATTAAGTAACTAACAATGTCATAGGATTTCATAGGTTTCAAATTTTAGGTTGTTGAAACCCACAAAAACCAATCGCATACTCGCTGTTTATGACGCATCATAATAGGTTTTTAGGTTTTAGGTTCAACCTTCATATAAATGAAGAATAATACACCACTATTATTAATTAATTAAATACGTACTTGTACCGAAAGCGACCATTGCCCTTAATGATCTGAATGTAAATATCAGATGTATTTTTATTGAATCTTAGTAAAGCTTTCTTTCCAAAGTTTCTTATAGAAAACCATAAAAGTCCAATGACCATCAGCAAATTAATATCAATATTATGAGCTCTTTTTGAACCAGAATTTTCTCATGTGCCGGTAGTTGTAACTATTAAACCCATAAATAATTATAATTCGGTGGCGATACTGTCTATTTGTTATTAGAATAATTACAATTGCAACGTTTCCGTTGTATACCTATAGACCTATTCAAATCAAAATATAAGCAACTCCAATAGTTGATATGTTATCATTTTTCTAAAATGTAGACCAAACTAAAGATGAACAGAAAAGATTTGATTTAACTAATGTTTCTTACAATAATAGTAGTATAAGAGAGTATTGTCATTCTCCCTATACAACCTAACATTTGTAGGAATTTGTTAGTCATTATCACAGTACAGGGATTCCGAACCGAGGGTTAATTACCCCCGTGGGGGTAAATCAGTTATTCTGTGGGGGTAAGAAAGAACCTAATAATTAAGACCTAAAATACGTAGCTAGATAGTAAAAATATAAAATGATAGATGTGTCGATGTTTATACAACTGTATGGACGATTGGTAAATATTGAAAAAACAAGATCACATTTATAAATTCTGTGGTTCGACATTTATCTGTAGCAATAAACTAATTGAAGCAATATTTTCCGGAAATGGATAATCGTCAGTCCAGTTCTTGGATATTAAGACGATTTACTACTGATGATAACATTATTAAAAACGAAGAGCGGCCAAAGTGGAATATTTTGGACTACGCCAGAATACTACTTACAGAATAGAATTTCAAAATTATGATCTTCAAAATTGTAAGACTGATGTGCAATTTGTGATTATTAAAGATATTTGTATTTGCTTGTGTTGTTTGTATTGATAACATTTTAAGGTTGGGGTAAAATCTGTTTTCTTAATAGGTCACAGGGGTAACAATATTAAAAAGGTTAGGAACCACTGTCATAGTAAGAACACTAAATTTCAATTTAGGGTAAAAGGTTACACCTACATCTTTAAATTGAGGCACTGCCTCAAGTATCTTGTGCAGAATACTGATAAATTTAGGGGCATTTAAGCCAGTAAATTTCATGACTACATATGCCAATGTTTAGAGTCAAATAATTATCTTCACACAACAATAACTAGACATTCAAGTGTTATAGTAGAATTAAGCAATCTGCATCACATGTGCTGACGTTATATAATTTTGAATTATCAGCAAATAATGAGAAAGGACACATATTGTTTAATGTTGTTTATTAAGAGTAAGAATAAAAGAAGCCCGAGATCTCACCCCTGGGAACGCGATATGATACCGTGCTATCTTTAAAAACGTAGGACTTGTATTTTTCGTTTTGTAGTCTCCCCGCTAAATCATTTTTAAACCACAACAAACGCAACATATTACAAAATTCAGTTTTGCTATTTTCTGGACTTGTTGGCTGTGGTCGTTGGGATTCCACCTGACGTTTCGTCTGCAGCTGCGGTAGGTATATTCAAAACCTACATAAGTTACCGGTGCCGCATTCGGGTATAAGAAAGTTCGAAGAAAATTTATACCAAAACTACAGAGTTTACGATGAACTGTGATCAGAACTCCATCTTCTCTATTGTTTTGACTACTTGCGGGGCTCTGGTCCTACCTGTGTGTTCCATAAAGTTTAATTTATCATCAGATATGAAATCAATTTGCGAAGTTTCCGTAGAAGTAACTATTTACATCATAGCATTCCAGAGAAGGAGATGACTTGAATAAGAGCTAAGTTTTCATCCCTAATCCTTGAACGTTTTGCTAGAAGGCGGAAACGTTCTCTGACGATTGTCTATGACTTAGTTTTCCCGATGACTACCTTGAGGGGCCATCAGGTGTTATTGAATGAGGGACAACTAACTTCGGTACGCCATTGAAATACTGAAGCTTCTGGGTTTCCAATCGTCTTTCAGCTTCGAACGCTGTTCACGCTTGCACTTGGTCTGGTCAAAGGCAGTCCCATAATCACCTTGCAGTTTTTTCCTTTCACGCAGGATGTTGAGGGCAGCTTCAGCACATGGTAACTGAACTTTGATCGGTCGATTATGATCGACCGTATATACCACTGCTCAAATTAATATTAAGAGTCTCTTTTGTGCCAAGGCGGAATTACAACCATCTCCTCGATCCTCACATTTGAAATCCTTAATAGAAACGAGGAAACAACCCCCTTGTCGGTTTCGTTCAATTCATTCGAAGTTAATCTGGGATTTTTTGGGACACCATCATGATATTTTTAGATGGTTGATTACGTTCCACGAACTAAGCGATCAAACCAAGCATTCAAATCGTCGAACGGTGCTGAAGCGGCTGATGGGTTTTGGACCGGGGCCTTCAATTCTCACACCTCGTTCAACAGCTCTCAATTGGGTTTAACAAGTTGATTAAATCCAGTTGACAGTCGATCTAGCGTAGCTCACAATCTAAGTGGGTCCATCTCCGCAAAACAATTTGACACTTCCCTTGGTTCACTCCAAGCCAAAGACGCGAGGTCCGGTAGGAATAAACAGTGCGCATTGTGGATAGGACATGGATTAGCAACAGTCACATTCCATGGAGTCCGGCTTGCCTTGTTTTTTGCGAGGAACAATTTTCTCATTGCATTTTTCGATCCGACATGATGTAAAAAGAGTTGTCGTTATCTCGCGATCAACCAATCACAACGCCGTATGGTTGGTTAAGAAAATATCCTACAATAATTGCGACAGGAAATTACAAAAGTAAAAGTCAGAAGTACACTACACATGACCTATACCTCATAGGTTCTTGAATTACACAAACTTTAGTAAAAATTTTGTGTAATTCACCAACAGAAGGCTTGATAATAAAGTATAAAAAAGCTCATAAAAATATAATTGAACCATTAGGTTTCATAATTTCGTATGCACATTCGTGTTGATTAGAAGGTGTACATAAATATATAATTGACGTATTTATCAAAAGGCACTCTCACTGGAAAAAACTGGTGGCATTTTAGGTAGATAGAGAAGCTCACCAAACCAATTCAATCGAACTCAGCCAAGTACGTTTTTCGTTTTATAAATGGATCCCCGATTCACCGTGAAATGAACAGCGTAAAAAGCACAGAAAAGTCTTTTCTGATTTTGACTGGACCGACGGTAGGTATACGATGATACAGCGCAGAACTTCTCCCAAAATCGAATTAGAAATTACTTGCAACCAACGGTCCGTGTCCATACCAACCAATATACAGAAGTTTGGAGTAGATGTAACGCCGACTAATAATAAAATAAACAAAGATGCAAAGCTAACGGTGGACAACCACAAAAACTAAATACACGTTTCACAAACCTTTCCTCATCTACCATGCATCCATCCTGACTTTGGTTCGTTTTTTGTTTTTTCTCTTTTTACACGGTTTTTCGTTACTTTCAAGTGATTCGTTCCACGCCTTTTAAACAGCAACAACAAACAAGGTCGAAGTATCTATTCATTAGCACTAAATTTCGTCAGTGTTTAACAAAAAGTGCATTGAAATAAAATATTTGTATTTAAAAATTGACTAAACAACAGGCATACGTAGTAAGTTCGTAATTATTTCCGTAATTACTTCAAATATGTTGTGTTTCAATTAAAATAACGCATGTAAGCGACCACATACGCCTTGGAATGACCGCCAAGCTGTGGTTCCCATAAACGGTCGCAGATCCTCAAGGACTAGGATTGAGATTCCAGGCAGATTATAAACAATAGACAGGAACGATCTGCAATTGTGTGAAAAATGCTTGTATTTCTCACTCCAAGTCATTAAA